GTCATGATGGCATTCATACACTTCTATGATGACATCCTTATTTCCCTTGCCAGTGCAGTTATTGTCCGTCATAAGTGCTAATAAGGTACTTGATAACTTTAAGAAATCCATTTAAATGGGATGTGAAGCATTATGGGTTCTTTAATTTGGTAACGGAGAGATGTTTAAATGTAATCCAATATTAAAATAATCGCCTCTGTTCTTAATAGTCGACCACTTTCGGTAGCTTGTATCCCTGGCCAGGGTTGAACTAGAGAAGTGCGGTTTCAACTGCGCATAGAGGTTAGAATTTTCTCTTGGTCGCTAACAAAAGATCTTCTCAGACTCGGAATGAGCTGATGTGTATGTTCCCAATAAGTGGTTTTAGGGCAATATTGTGAAAGTTTCTCATAGTTTATAATTCGAGCACTCAGATGACAACTTGAGGAATAGAAAGGCAGGTAGCATTCCTCGGATTGCTCTATACCTTGTGTAGACGGAGACATTCACTTATCATTAGCTTGACTTGACTTCAAACTTATTTTGAGTTGAGCCAAAGTGATTGCGGCTCGCTTGATTCTGTTTCATTTTTAAGATGTTCTTTACAATGTGTTCACGTTATTTTGTTCTGGATTATCCGATTGGATGTAGCCATTGAAATCCCGTGTTTATGTGGAGATTTATTTGATTGTTCTGTTGCTGTTGTTGTTTACGTGATTATTTTGTGTTGTTGTTGTGATTATTTTATGTTTTCGTGCCTTCATCGTTTTGTATATCCTCTCGTCGTTCATTACCGTGTTTTTGATGCTGTCGCGCCAGGCATAATGAGGGGAAGCATTGCTAGGCATGATATGATGGGATTCTATGATTGAGACAGAATCGCAAAGTGCCTAGAGAACCCCGCAAAAACTATCAGGATGTCACATGATAGGGACAGGCTCAAGTTTTAAGTTCTTGCCTGGACATAAGCTCATAAGTTTGCTGAGATTAGGATATGTTTGAAAATGTGAATGGTGCGTGGCGCGACAGTTGCCTAGACGTTTTCCCACGTGTTACAACGCATCACACCGAAACAGCTTGAAAGAATTGACGACTTGTCGGCTTCAATGAGTTTAGGATTGTTGAAACAGCAACTGTTGTAGTTGTGTCGACAAATTTGGGGAATTCAGGTTCAGTATAGCTTCTAGGCTTAACATGATTGTCTGCTTCGCAGTTGGGGACTAGGAACTTGAAATTTGACAGCTTCTCGTAATATCGATCTGAGAATAGGAATGGAAAAGCAACACAACGAATAGAGTATTTATGATACGACGTCTAATTCGTGCCAGTGTAAATGAGATCAATAAGCTTGAACAAGTATCATTGTTTGAACATTAGTGATAAGCACAGAAAAGGCTGCCGTCCCTCACTTGTGCTCAGTTTTTTCTTTCGTGGAGAGCACGTTGCTTCGGGAAAAACCTTCTTCTTTTCTCGTCAGGCGGCCATGAGCCAGACTTCGTTTCGAAATCCTTAACAGTACTTAGTCAGCGCTTCTGAATGTACATGCATGCTCCTCTTTTGCTTCGACCAACTAAAAACTTAGTGAGAAAATTCGTGAACGTAGCCACGCAAGGACGGTGGCAATTGTAATGGTAAATTCCTCAAGCTGAACTTCATCCTTTTTGGAATGAGCTTTTGAAACCTCAGTTCACTCCACCCAGCAGCCAGTAGAAACACTATCAATACCACTTAGTTAAGTTCAGTGCTTCGTCACCACTCATTTGTATATTCAGACCCACCAATAATTTGCAATTGTATTTGATTTCGTCACCAACGATCATCGTACTAGTTTTTACCGGTATCTGCAGAACAAACGAAGTTGATTAGAGTTGATAGGAACAACTCCAATAACCCCTTCAACACACAAAGCTGTGGCACAATGTCTTCATGCATGCGATGGCTAATGCGTGTTCCGTATGTGTTATACTCCGCCCCTGCGCTCAGACGCGTTTTTATGGCGAAGTGCGACGACGCCTTAGACCGCACCTCGTTTCTCCTTGACCTAAACTGCACAGTTGTCTAACGGATGCTTCACGGGAATTGACTTTTAAATACATTATTGTATGAATTGACTAGGAACTGTCATTGCTGATGGTAAATGCTATTTTTGTTCGTTAACTCATTTTAGAATTTATTGCTGGAGTGAAATATATTAAAGGGACGACTGTGTGTGTTTGTGGGATGCGTACAGACGAGGATAGTGAAATCGAGTACGCGGTTATGAAACAAGTCGCATCTGTTACGATCGAATCAGATAGCCAAGCCGAAAATGTTGCATCTACGTTATCATCGAGAAGCAATCGTCGTCGAAAGAAGAGACGTGTTGACAGGGAGGGAACAAATCAAACTACCTCAGAACATATGGATATCGACACACCATCTAGCGCAACTCCGACGAAGATTTCGTTGCATAACAACCTTAAAAACGACAGCAAGAATGATAACATTGTTAACCGCAATGATAATAACAGTAATTGATTACTCTGCATATTATCATCATTTTCAATTATCAATATCTGTTAGGACTTCATAAATCTTAAATAATTGAACGATGCTGTCTTCATTGTGATCGACGTAAAATGAGAACAGATCAAATGTAGATAAGAAATCAATGGATTGGGACGGTGTTTATTCGGCAAGTGAGCTGTCATCATCAGAAACGTTTTCGTCGGATGGACGTGAAGCAGATGATGAGCAATCGGATTGGGTCGATTCAACCGAATCAAACGTTCATGACTATTTGCACGAACATCCTTCCCAAAATCTAAATGGTCGACAGCAGCGAATGAATAAGTTCGTTCGAATTGCTTCAATTATTAACATTTTGTCGACCCACTGCTAGAATAAGCCAACCCATCCTAGGTCCACTTCCATGCTCGAATTAATGTCTGAAGAGAGTTGCAGTCAGAAGTAATATCCATCATTCCAAACTATGCCAAAACCACTTTGACTTATGGTGAGTAATTTTCGAGCTAAGATCTCCGTGAGCAGTGACCTAGAAATGTATTATGCCACGTTCGTCACTTGATCAACGCGTCCTTTCTTTCAGAGCACATACACCTCTAGCATTACTGCATCGGAAATTAGAACGCTTTGTTCGTGATGATAATCAACAAGAACTGGTACTCTATCAGTGGATGCGTTCTAATCAGGTGATTCAACTGAACTTGAATTGATTTGTTTTCTTCTCATTCTGTTGCAACAATCTCAACAGCAGATGCTGTTGCTCGGATTGAGCACACAAATGAGATTTATATAAGATGAGATTAGTGAATTTTATTAGGAAATACCGTACTAAATTCAATTCAGTTCTCTCGTGTAATATCTGCTTACAAGATTATTTCATTTATTATGAATTTTTACAGTTGAGTCGAATCTTGCACTGTTTTGGTTTGGAAATAGCAAAGCGTACTCGAGGTACATTGATCGTAAAAAAGAAAAAATCGTTGCTGTGATGAACGACACGCAAAATGATAAGGTGATATGCCGAATGATGTCACAAAAAATAGTGTTAGTAATGTTCGTGATAACTAGTATGGTTCAATTGAACATCACATAACCTCAATTTCATGTTTAAACTTCACGAATTTGTTACTTTTAGGAACAATAACGAATTTAATTTGTATTATATTGCATTATCAAAACAAATTTCACTTATCTTCTGTGAAGTACTATGCGATCAGTTTTTAAGTTTTCTTCACCGTTTTTTAATTGTTTTTTCATCGTAAAATTCAATCAGCTGGTCTGACTGAAAAATTCAGTGTTTCATGACTTTTATATTTATTTATCTGTTTAAACATCATTTACTTGTCTGTTTGAATATTATTGACACCACAAAAATTTCCAGAATAAAATCATTCTTCATAAAATTACTTCATTCATTACTGCTGAAGAAGCCGTTCGTGTTTCTTTAAAATTCTTTCCATTTCTTTCTTTACAAAAACATTCAAAAAATTTGATGATGCATTGTGTGTATTGTAATTAATTTTTCCCCTTGTATCGTATGAATATGAAAAAGCCGAGCTGGACTCGGCCTATATATCGTCTCAAATTCGAATGTAACTTTCTGAGACGAATTGAATAAATGTTCAAGCATAGCAACTGTAACGACAGATGGTTTCTGTTTTGCATGTGTGTTGATGCGTGTGTTCGTATGTGTGTGTGTGCGCGTGTGCAATCTGCGATGAAAGTAAAGTTTATGGTTGACAAAAATAAACAATTTCTGATTAATCTTCCGTTATTATTCATTGATTTTGATCATGTCAGTTCTTATGTCATTTTTCATTATATGCTCTCATATTTGGGCTTCAAGTTTCCAATAATGCGCTCAGATCTCAACGCATCTCTTCCAGCTCCATCTTGCACCTCTCCCAGACGATCACAGTACCACGTAATGAAACGAAACGTACAAATAAATTCTTAGCGTTGTATTGTTGTCGAATCGACAACGTTTCTGATACGTTCTTTTTGCAAAATGCATCATTCAAACCGACTGTACATCACCTTATTTTTCTGTTTTTCATTCGAAACTCTAGTGACCAACCACCATCGTCAAATCATCATCGTTCTATTGCAAATAAATCATCTGCTGAAAGATTTTCAGATGTGTTCTATTATCAAAACAAACCCCGTTACTCATTGTAGTCGTGCAAGTACATCAGAATCAAAGGCAAATTTTAAGAAACAACGATCAATGAAACGAAAATCTCAAAAAAGCGGTAATGGCGTGAACGAAGAAAATATACAGCAACGACAACAACTTTGGCGAATAACTTTACGACTGTTAGTTTTCTTCTCATTTCGTTGAAATTTGATTGCTTCATTTTGCATTCTCTTATTCAATCATTCATTTTTTCTTGTTGTATTTTTACTGCATCCTCATCATTCTTTTTCTTCTTTGACGCTTGAAGTTTTGTTTTTTGCAATTTTTAAAAGTCAGACTGATCTGATATTAACTTTTGAAAATTTTTTGAAAAACATAAAAAAACAGGTGTTTGTGGCTGATGCTATTAGTGAGAGGGACGGTGAAGTCAAGAATGAAGCAGCCAGCATCTAACTAATTATCGTTGCTATATTGCTATTGATCAGTTGATTAATGAATTGCAAAAGTGGATTTCTTCATTTATTCTTCATCTTTTTGGAAATTGCTTCAAATTTCAAATTCGTCTTCTCCAGCGAGCTTGGTAGCTCGGATCGAATGTTGTCTACAAATGAATTCACGACAATCGTTGATGAAGCAATTCGACGAGTACTCGGTCAAGCCGCACCCAACTATCAGCTAGGTCCATTCGATGAGACCACTCGCAAAGGTTCGGTCGTTGTGGCCGCATCAGATTCGCATCTAGTATGGGCTGCATTGTCGGTTTATGGTCGACATTTCGGAACACCAGTTGCGCTTCATTTGAATTCGGTTTGTCGTTTTTACTTTTCATATTACTTTTACATGTGCGAATCAATCCGTTTATGCATAAACGAGCACACCAGAATGCATTTATACTCTCTCACAAGTGAATATGAATCCTCTCTCGGTCAGAGCTTTGCTTTTGCAAACAATCAATTTGCAAGCCTACTGAACAACCTAATAGCTTGCATATTTCACCGGAGTTTGATAATTTCTTAACAATACGATTCTGATAGGATTTTTGTCATGTGAAAATGCGGCAACGACTACAGAAACTTCTGTTCTGAGCGAACCGTAGATTGTCTTCTTGAACTGCGATTAGGTGTTGCCTGTTGCGTGTTTTGTCGCTTGTACAATGCCGTAATCCACTAGATTTGAATGATACCTTAGCAAGCTGTCTACTTCCGCATTGCTCTAACCGCTTGCTGTTAAGCGTAACACCCCGTCTTCTCGTCTCACTTAATCTTGCTTTTAATAAAACGTAATCAATTACAGCAAAAAATTTCTAACGAAAATCGACACGAACTCGAGCATACTTTGAAACGTCATTCTGATAAACTCACTTCGCCAAAAATGTGAAACTATATGTAGATGTGTATGTAGAATTGAATTTTTTATCCATATGTAGAACTAAATCTTTTCTTTCATTCGACAGATTTAATTTACAGTTAACAATCGTCAACGACAACAACTCCAACTGATCATCTTCTCGAGCACCTTCCACCAATTTGATCACCTAACTCCTTCATTTTGCTCACCAGTCGACATCACTACTACTGTTGCCATTATTGCTATTGTTACTATTGCAATTTCAGTTGCTTTCTTCTTTGTGGCATTAAAACTTCTTGTAAGTAATGTGCAGCACTGCAATGGTAACGACTGAAACTAAAGCTGTATATGAGTGTATTATTGTTCGTTTTCATGGTAAAAACAATAACAACATGACGGCCTGATAAATACTCAACACAAATTGAAATGAATTTTATCTCTCATTTTTATTTTCGTTTTATTTCTTCATTTATTGAAATAACACATAATCATGTAATCTGGAAACGTCGATGTTATTATTATAATTGTTATATCACTAATGAGAAATTACTGTATTCATGATAAAGATTTGCTAACACGAATGAATGAATGTAAAGATTGTCCTTTACATGCTCGTTTGGAAATAAATAATGATTTGAGCGATAGTAAAAATAATGAAAACAACACTAAAAAGGAGAGACAAATGACCTTTGGCTTATGAAGCAGTGAAGGTTTAATGAATGAGAAAGGAAAAACGAGCAAGATCAATAAAAATTGCACGAAATCAAGAGTAATATTTCTAAAAAATGAACACTAGGTTCTCAAATAAGACATAGATGCAGGCTCAATAAGGAGACTTAGGACCAGGCGTCAACTTGATTTTTGAGTTAGAGTTATGCAAGTGCAGAATTTCTGAAAACAAATACTTTTTGAAATTCTTCTCCAAATTGTCCGTTTGTTGTTCTGTTTTAGGAAAACTTTTGGACTGATAGAAATTTTCTAAATAAATGGCAAATTAATTTTCCTAACGAACAGTAACTGACCAAAACAAAATCAATGCAGTGGACAAACGTATAGACAGTTAGTTGATCGACGGACAAATGAATAAATTATCCAATTGAATAACTACTTCATTAAAAAGAAATGCTTATCTAAAGCGCGTACAAATAACAATTTTTTAACAAAAAAAACGAGGCATAACCAAAAACGCGCATCAACAATGAATGCAAGCAATTTGGAGATAAACTTCAACGGAATAAAAATACAAGTTTAAGAATGATGGAAATCGAAAACGAAAAGAATAAAACGATCAAATAGGTAATAATAACAATAAAATTTTTAATAATGAGTAACAAATAATTAAAACGAAGCATATTTAACAATTAATCACGAAGCAATGAACGAGGATCAAATAAACAAATGATTGAATAAATGAGACGCAAAGCAATACAAACAAACAACGGAAGAGTGTTAACAGAAGTGACGGATAATGAAGGTGATAATATAAAGAATAATCATCTTAATGATGCCAACTATTTTTCATTTACTCAGCTACGGTTACCAATCACCAACGAACAAAAACCCCGCTGCATATGGGTATCACAGTTTATCACGAATCCACCACTGAACAACTACCTCACTTAATGATTCTCTGCAATATTTCAGACGCCCAGAAAAGTTTAGCTTACTAAGAACATTTTGTTTCCTTTTCGAAATTATCCTTTCTGACTTCCTGAATTCTTCAACCCTCTCGACGAGCATTAATTAATTGAAAGTTATGCTCTTAAAATAACAATAATAATAATAACAATAATAATAATGATAATAATAATAATGATAATAATAATAATAACAATAATAATAATAGTAATAACAATAATAATAATGAAAGCTGAAAATAAGATGATGATGGTCAAATAAGCAGTTTCTTATCAACAAATTAAGTTGTTTTTGAAAGTGATAAGTGTCGATTTTCGCGAGACAACCGTGAGATCTCTTCACCTAGTGTATCAACATTGCTCTGCAAATTTTTAAAAATAGCGTTCAGTATTAGTAATGTTATCAACGAAATTTACAATAATAATAATAATCAACGATAATAATGACAGTTAAAAAGGCAACCGGCAAGCATGATGTAATAAAACAAAACAGATGAAATTAATGAATAACGAAAATAAAATGATCAAAAACAAAATTCTAAACTCACTTTGAGTGTAATATTTTTATAAAGCGTATCTTCGAGTACGGCCTGTAAACGAGAATTAATCTCAGTGGCTAATTCCAATTCGGACTTTCCTCCTGCGCTACTTCCAAAGATGCTACCCATTAGAGTTACTGCACCCACGCTACTTGCTCCACTCGAGCTACTACTAGCACCTTTTCGACGTGCTAAAGGAACCTAAAATGAGAAACTAATTCATTCCATTTCACTGAAAATCATCAACAAAATAAAAGTATTATTGTTTCAGTAAAAGCGCTACTTTGAAAAATAAACGCATTCACACATTCGTCTGCTGATAAGCACTGATTGGCACAACAACGAAACTTCCATTAAATAAACAAAACCACTAAAAACAATGATGCATTGCTTCACATAAATAAAATTCATTCTTAGAGTCATATATAACTGTAATGAGTAGTGAAATGTTAGTGATGAATAAATATGTATTAACGAAATTGTAACCACACTACCGTAAAATAATAGTAATA